CCTTATATTCCTACAAAATATAGGGTGTTGGCTCTATAAATAATAACAGCTAACAGTATATTTATGTTTTTTATTGGAAATTACAAATAATTCCTTCTTTTAAAAAATGATAAACTAAGCTATGGAAATTGTCAATATAAAAATACCTTTGTTTTCAAAAAAAGTTTGATAAAGAATAATTTAATCTAGAAAACAGTTATGTGTGGAAAATTCTGCATGTGGATTTGAATTACTTTCCAAATTTTGGGTTTCTCTTAACACAATAACTCTTAAGTTATTATAATGAATCACAAAAAAGTCAAATAAGGACAGATTTTCTTAAATTAGAAACTCATATTAATTGTTCATTATGATGGATGATACTTATCATTTGATGCAATGCAAATTATTGATTTGCTTTTATTAATAGTTAAAATGAACATTAGAATATATTTATACACTATACTAATCTAATGTTATTTTTTAAAGCTTATGCCTCTCTTTTATTTCTTTAAAAAATAGTTTCCTTCTTCTTGATTGTGCTTTTAAATATCTGTTAAAATAAAATAGTAAAAAATCCTTTCTCGTCACTGGGTTTAATTTCTAATCAAATGATTATCTTCCTTGTCCTTCTGTCAACCTGATTTCTCTGAATCCTAGCATGATGTGTGAACCCAGACATATATTGAAATGAAAGTTTTATCCAGCAATATGAAATAATCAGAAAAAATGGGAAATGTCATTCATTCACAATTATTATGGTAAAATATTTATAAAAATTTGGCTTTACCTCCCTGACACAAATTATACTTGATATGAGATTTGATTCACAACTTGATAAATAATGCACTATGCAGAATTAAAATAAGAACTTATGAGAAATCATTTATGAGTAATCAAGGAGAAATAATTCTAGAAAGACTATTAAGACTGGAGTTTGATCTCCCCTGACTTCCCATTTAGTACTTCCAACATCACAGTGCCCTTTGATACTGACTAGCAGCCTTTATTTAGGTTGCAATAATTTAAAAAATGTCTACTCAGCTTATTATACAGGACTTAAATTTTCTTTGAGTTCTCACTCAATTACCTGATAAAAGCTATGTTAACATGACCTAACCAATTCTGATCATACTTAGCTTATTTTATTATTTTATTATTCTTATTAAGATACCTCCCATTTCACTCACACTTGTACTTAGGACTGTTAATGTAGACTAGCAGATGAATTTACTATCAAGTACTTCTCTAGCCAGAAGACCAGACAGGAAATTCTGGCTAGAAGGCAGGATTTAAAATTTCTTCCTGCCCTTTGGGGAATACCCCACCCTTTCAGTCACATGTACTGTCTTCAGATGGGTGTGGTACAACTCTTATTTTATTGTATATTCCACTGAAAGAACAAAAGGTTGCAAACTATTATAGCATACAGGAACAGAAGAACACGGTATAACAGCATAACACAAAATTTGCATAAATTAAACGTATGAGTCCAAGATACATTCAATAATATAGAACAATGAGTGAACATCTATCTAAGCATGAAAGAATGAGACATTTCATTCAACATATGGGACATAAAATCCATGGAAAAGCAGAAAGGGCAGTGAAGCAGCAAGAGGAACTCAAACAATACTGACTGAATAAAAATGAAGTTCAGATTGCTCATATCCAGCAGGCTTTCCTAATTTTCTTACAATGTATTTTAGATGGTCATTCTCTAATTGTTTAGACTGCTAGACATTTCTGGGGAAATGCTTACGAAGAAATTTAAATATGTGATTTGATATAGCAAAGACACCAACAATTAATGGAAGCAAAAACTAAGAACCACTGTTATCTTCACTGTCCAGCTTTATGAGAATCAACATAAAACACATTTAAGGCTCTGATTATATATAGAAACTTTATATAAAAGTAGTAATAAAATTTACTTCAAGAAAATTCATTTTATTGAATTGAGAGGGGATTATTTTAAAGAAAATCTGGTTAGAATCCTGGTTAAACTCCTGAATCCTATCAGACAACTAACTTGAATAAAAGGTCATCAAAATTAAAATAAGATATGAAACTACTTATAGTTTGTACTGAAGGTTACTGGGAAATGAGGCTAGACCAGGCATGTCAAACTCACAACGTCACATAATGAAATGCGACGTATCACGACTTTTTCCCCATTGCCGGCAATGGGGTGGACGCAGTTTCGGTGTAACACATCCGGCCTGCGGCCCGGCAGTTTGACATGCCTGGGCTAGACTATGGACTTATTTTGATAAAACAGTTGACACCTGGATAATCACAAATGAAAAGAACTGCTTTGCTGATCTAAATTCAGAAAAGCCAGTATTTGAATTCAGAAGCAAACTTTGGAAATGATGGCATTTTGAAGGATACCTGCTCCATAGTAATTAGAGATCTAGCATGTCTTCTGGACATGACATCCCATTCAGCAATCATTGCCAGCTGAGTGTTTAAATACTGGAAATACAGCTAGTCCTCGACTTAGTGAGAGATCAAAATAACAGTGGCACTTTAAAAAGTAAGTTATGACCATTTTTCACACTTATGACTGTTGCAGCATCCCCTTGGTCATATGATCAAAATTCAGATGTTTGGCAACTGGTTCATATTTATGACAGTTGCAGTGTCCCAGGGTCATGTGATCACCATTTGCGACCTTCTGTCAAGCAAAGTCAATGGGGAAGCCAGATTCACTTAACATGCATGTCATTAACTTAACAACTACAGTGGTTCACTTAAAACTGTGGCAAAAAAGGTTGTAAAATGGGGCAAAATTCACTTAACAAATATCTCACTTAGCAACAGAAATTTTAGGGTCAATTGTGGATCGAGAACTATCTGTACAGATTCAAACCTTTACTCAGCCATGAAGCTCAATGGGTGGAATAGGTCCAGTATACTTACATATGCAGATCTAAGTGAAACATGATTTTGAGTAGAAACTTTGTATTGCTCCTATTGTTAGAAGTCAGAAATGTTGCTGCTCTACTCCAAATCATTAAACCATATTATCATACAGGCATCTTAAAATGATCAATAGAATTAGAAGATTCTATCTATTTCTCTATCAATCATCTTTTTACTTGGAAAAAGTTTACATTATAAATACAGTAAATACTGTGATTCACTCAGCTTTCACCTGTCATACTTGTCCATTAATTCTGGTTCCAGTTTTGGCGAGACAGACAATCTTTTTTGCAGTTCATCAAAAAAGACTTCAGCCTTAATGGCTGAACTTTAAATGTGAATTTTAAGCTATTTCTCTTGCCCTTGTTCTTATTTAGAAACAAGAATAAATACATCAAATGAATCAGTCGTTCTGAAAAGTCGTAAGGATTTCCCCAGGAATCATGCTTTGTAGAGATTCAGACACTTTGGAATCTGTCAATACTACATTTTCTGGAGTAAGTTCAAGTGGCATCAATCACAGCCACTTGGTGCAGACTGACTTCAAACAGGCTAATGAATAACCCGTTTTTGTGAGGAGCTTTGGCAGCGGAGAAGCCGTAAAGTTCTCTGCCCCTCTCAAGCAGTCTATCAACTAAACAGTTCAACTCACCAGCTACTCGGCGAAGACACTGCCAGCCCTTCCGCCATAGCTGTTGACGTGCCCGTAGCCGTGCCGTAAAGCGTGATCTAAATTTCCAAGGTTCTGCGCCGTTCACACCCCAACTCATGCATGGCTGCCGTAAAGTGCAACAGCCACGATGACACCGACATATAGAACTATAACATAAGATTCGCCCGCCCTGTTTTGCTTCCTTGAAGCGGGTTCCTGCGGGCAAAAGAGCTATCCATAACTTCAGTTTCAGTCAGAGGTCGGAAAACGAAGTTTTAAGAATGCAAATATCCACTGAACATTCTGGAGCTTATTTCTGAGTCTGAAATCTGTGCATACGATTTCAACGTGGAAGTCTAACCGATTATATTGGGATGATTTGTTTTTGTTTTTTTTTAAAATGGAGACTACATATTTTATTTTTTATACAGTAGATGTACAGGTCTCCGCTAAACATGTTTGGAAGCGGGTAGCTTTTTTACTGCTCTTATTGTTAGAAGTCAGAAGTCTTTGCTGATTCACATCATTAAGAGATAAAGCAACAGACCCTCATATCTGCTTCTAGTACACTGCAGGTGCTTGCTTGATGAAATGACCAGTGAACTAACTTACCGCCCTAATGACGGTGCATTTACCGGCAGAATTCCTGAGCGTCTGAAAGTTAGACTCAACTCATATAGACTCCCCCGAAACTTAAATATCACGCTTTTACGCTACAATCGCACCACGCTCCATCGGCATTGCTTTTAAAGTGTCATCATGTTCGAGTCTATTCCAACGCATAGCACAGCACAACTCGAAATGTAAACATAAAGATATTTTGACATTTTGCTCTCGCAGTACGCTAAATCGTAAACCCAGTGGCTAATTCAGAGCAAAATAACACAGCTAAGGTTCAGAATGGTAAACAAAATCACGGCGTTAAAGTAAGCAATCTATTCTTCTGAGTTTGCTCGAGACACCTGCGTCCCAAATTGCACCGATGAGCCCACGCCACCTGCTAAGGGGGTAGTTTAGTTGCGGATGTGCCTACACTACCTGGTTAAAATATAGTTTGGTTTACCGTTGAGCCAGTCCATTCTATAGCGGTTTATTTTTGTTTTGCGAGCAGAAACAGCGGGATGTCAACCGTAGTTGATGGTTTATCTCATTTTGTAAACGCAGCATCAGTGCAATTGGGAGCTCGCAGAACCCAAAAGCAAATGTCCGCCACGTGTTTCCTCAGAAGCAAGTCCGATTACGTGTACTGGAATGTAGTCCGGTCTTCTACTAGTATTGGAACAATGAACTGTTTGCAACTCTGTTGATTTGCAGTGCCATTCCCCTCCTCTTCCTGCCTCCCACCCAGGTCACTGCCTGCTGAGACCGAAACGAAAGTAACCTCCACTTTGAAATTCCTCCCTGCCCGACCCACTGGGCGGGATTTACGCGTTCAAAGCGGCAGCCGCAGCGGGCAGAGGCGGCGTGGATTACAGTGGATACACAGCATGGCAGACACGTTGGACGAGCCTTGGTGGGAGACACGTGAAGGAACCAACCTTAGTCCAGGTACCGAGTTTCGGGAAAAGCGTGGAAGTTTTGGGATGCTGCCTGGCTAATTTTATAGATGGTCTCGTCGCCTCCTATTTACTGTAGTCTTTTTCGCACAGCTCTGGGTATTTAGAAACGACTTAAAAAGGAGGAGTTGACCGTCTCTTGCATGAAAACTACCTTTTTCAGTCAAGAGAGGGAAGGGTAAAATTATTTTCTATATATATCGGAGAGATATATAAGAAGAATTGAATGTGCCGCTTTTGAATTTGGCTCGTAAAATAGCTTATAAAACTGATATGCTTAAAATAGGTCATACAACTGATACGCCAATGAACAGATGTCTTTTCTGTGATTCGTCTGAAAACAGATACAAGTTGATTTGCAATGTCATTCCCCTCCTCTTCCTGCCTCCAGTGCAGGTCAAACTGCAGGCAGAGACATTGAGCAAAGAATGCAGAATAAAAATTATTGGAAATAAATGTAAGGGTCAGAGGGGGTGAGCTTGGGTGGCTCTGCTGTACTGGTTCGTGGAGAAATGTTGGTACACTTTCTACAGACTGATTGGCTGCAGTTGTATGCACTGAAATATATGTTTAGCAGAATATGGTCTATATTTAGATATTTATATTCTTCTATTAGTTGCATTTTATTACCGCTCTCCTCTAACTCAGCATGATGTGTTCTTCCTCTTATGCACTCTTTTAATCTTATGAGATCGGTTACCATTTGTGAGGCAAGCTGTGGCTTTTAGTTACTGGTTCTTGCATTATGCTTTTGGGATATGTATGTACTGTATGTATGTGTGTATGTCTTATCTGTGTATATTGAAGCTTTCCAGTGTATCAATGTATATAACTTCTGCTCTCCATCCTCTTGTCCACCTGGGCTCCTGATGACTACATGAATATGGCCATGTTGTTTTCTTGGAGATGTTTTCAAAGTCCCAGTCCTGTGATTTCCTGATGGTCTTCCATCCAAGAGCTAACTAGGTCTTGCCTGTTTAGTTTTTGAAGAGTAGCTACTGTGGTGTTTAAAAGTTTGTGATCCCTTTTGAATTTTCAAATTTTCTACATAAATATGACTTGGAATATAATCTGATCTCCATAAAAGTCTGAAAACTAGATAAAGGGAACCTAATTAAACAAATGAGTTATTTCTCCCCACTGATGTATAATGAGGGGTGGTTCCCATCTCATGAGAAATTAAAACATTCTTGGAAGATACAGTGTAACTTCTGTGTGCTGGGTATTGAATGATTGGTTAATCAAAGTTAACTTTTATATTGAGACGTGGATATAGTCCTCTGTTTATGAGGAATAATATGCATAATTGTGACTTTATAAGCTTTGTTGTATTAGCAACAATTGAGAGAAAATCAGCTAACGTTTTGGAAGCAATGGACTAATTCAACAGCAAATGATCTATGGTTTGCTATCATTTTATACAAGCAAGCCAAAAGTTTGTATTATATGCTTTCTTAGTCAGACTTTATTCATATAACTGTGTCTAGAAACAGGTCAGCTTCAATTTCCTTTAAAAGTAGCTTTTGTCTCCTCCAGAGACACTTATTTGTGGAAAGTCATTTTTATATTAATCATGAATTGATTTAGAGAATCATTTTGTACAAGCCCTAATGATTTAGGACTCTCCCTCAGTTATCCTTTTATCCGTTTAATTTTATCACCTATGCTTTTCCTATTAAATGAAAAAAATATTTCTTTTCTATGAATAGTAAATAAATCAATAAGAATAGAGCTGGAAGGGACCTTGGAGGTCTCCTAGTCTAACCCCCTGTTGAAGCAGGAGACCTATACCATTTCAGACAAGTGACTGTCCAATCTCTGTGATGAAGCACCCACAAGTAGTTTAGGAATGTTATTTAATGAAAATGTTGTTCATCTCTATATTGAGGTTTAAATACTAAAATAATTTATTTTATAATAAGATACCTTGAAAATATCCCTTACCTATTCTACAATCCATACAGGTCTACTATTTTTAAAAGAATCCAATTTTAAAAAATAGTTTTTCATTTACCATATTGTCAGAAGCGTTGATGTAAAAATGCATGGTGGTAGGCAAAGTTCACAGCATCTTAATTTTGAAAAACACATCAAATGCACATTTGGTGACAGTAATCCATTTCTTCATATACTTATGCAATATGTAGGTTTTCTTCCTCTTGATTTCTGTTGGGACTGAAGTGGGACTGCTAACATTTTATCATCCTATGGTAATTTTACAGTGTCATGATATCACTGCTTTTTTTTCCTGCTGAGGGTAAAAATGAACTTGTCCTTAAGGGTTTCCATCATTTCTTTTCTCCCTGGTTCCTTGTCTTTGTCTCTTTAAGGTTGGCTGAATTATGAATCAAGAATACAATTGTCCTAATGCTGCACTGGGAAGTTGGGACAAAATAATAGCAGAGTACTATGGTGGCTGCACCTTTAAAGTCTCTTCATCATGCTCTGTCTGGTGTTGTTTTGACATTGTCTAAAATACAAAGTTACAGCTATGTGGGAAATTCACAGTAGCTTCATTTGAATTAAGTGGAAACTTCATTCTGTAGTGTAGGAGAAACTGTGGGACTTGGTTCATATTAGGAAAATGGGGCAATATTATACTGAACAGTAGATTTTTGGTTATGAGAAAATCCCAATCCTTTGTAATTCCAGTGTCAGCATCAATCATTTTTGCTGTATTGGTGTGCAAAAAATCATTTCTACTTATGAGTTAGATAACAATTATATCACACATCAGCCGTCTTATGTCTTCCTGACATTTTGCGTAGAAACGCAAAATGGGAATAGATCGGATAATGTTTGATGTCCCATCTTTAGTATCTTAAGTTGGTTTCTTCTATTGTCCAGAAGATGTCCTCACTGGTAGCACTGTTGTATTGATGGTTTTTGATTTAGGGTTTCTAATAGGAATTGCTTGACGGAAAACATCTGCAATCTATAATTAAAAAAATAAAAATATTTGCAGTTATTAATTTTAATGTATAAGTTGGTTTGACAAAGTATTTTCAAAAGATATCAATATTTTTTACTTTTTAAAAAAATGAAAATACTTGCAATAGCAATAGCCCTTAGACTTATATACCACTTCATAGTACTTTACAGCCCATTCTAAGCGGCTTACAAAGTCAGCATGTTGACCCCAACAATCTGGGTCCTCATTTTACTGACCTTGGATGATAGGCTGAGTCAACCTTGAGCTGCTCAGGATCAAACTGTTGGCAGTCAGCAGAATTAATCTGCAGTACTAACCACTGTACCACCATGGCTACTATATTATATAGCTTGCATTCACAGTAAATTGTAAATCCTAGCATACAGAACCCCCTTTTCAGATATGTACAACATACTAAACAAAATACAAACAAGCAGCAATTCATTTTAATGTGAACCCAGTCATGGGCTTCACTTGCATGACAGAGCTATGGTTATTCATTTTATTCTGGTTAACCCAATTCCTTGGATTGGCACAACACATCATACCAAGTGCTAAATACAGTATATGGACTGGATAATCACAATATCTAGGTTAAATATTGGCTAATTTGTGGCTAAATATACTATAAGAGCCAACCATAGTGTTATCCTGATTCAGGAAAGAATTAGACTCCTAGTGCTAAAAGAAAAGCCCTTTGGGATTGTGGTGATCTGTCATTGTTGTGAGATATAAAGTACAATGGTTTGCCAAATGCTTTGTGCAGTCTTAGTGAATATTCAAATCCTTGGAAGGATTTAGTCTAGTTCTTATCTCTAGATGGCAGCAAAGCTCAATAGTTTGTAGTATTTGAATTTTTTTAGATTCTGGGGCAGAGACATTGAGATGTGTATAAGATATTCCTAACTGTAAGAAAATATTGAGAACATCAGTTTGAGAAAAAAAAGTAAATATGGTATTATTGCTAATAAAATTTATATAGGAAACCTGAAATAATATCAAATTCTGTTCGATGCTATATAGTAGGGGTGTCAAACTCAATTTCATTGAGGGCCGCATCAGCATTGTGCTTGCCCTCGGGGGGCCGGGTGGGTGTGGCTGGGGTGGGTATGGCCTACTGGGTGGGCATGGCTGGCATGGGCATGGTCTGAGTAGGCGTGGCCAGCTCGACTTCACTTGCATCAGGGGCGCCTCTGCGGGCCTAGGCAGGACTGGGATGAGCATGGGGCATGGTCCACTGGAGGAGCCTCACCGTCCTTTTCAGGCCGTGCGGAGGGGGCCCTGGATGGTGGCACAGACTGCCTGGAGCCCTGGGCAGTGGAGGTCAAGTGCCCAGCCTGGCCCTTGAGCTCCCATGGCACCGGGACCCCACAGCCCTGCCTAGCCCAGCCGCACTTCCCCAAGAGGGTGCCTAGCTACATTTACCTCCTCCTCAAGGCTGCTGTGCTTGCTCTCCTTGGCCAGGTTGCTCATGGTGGGTGCAGGAGGGCAAAGTGCATGGGTCAGAGGGAGGCCCACTCCCTCTCCATGCGAGGAGACCTGGCTTTGTAACCAAAGCATCCTCAGGATGGGAGACCACCAGGGGTTGGTGAAAGGGCAACAGGGCTGCTGGTGGCGAAGTGCTAAGGCAGGACTTCTTTCAGGCCCTCCCTACCTCTCATTCCAATCTCTTTCCTTCCTTCCTTCCTTCCTTCCTTCCTTCCTTCCTTCCTTCCTTCCTTCCTTCCTTCCTTCCTTCCTTCCTTCCTTCCTCCCTCCCTCCCTCCCTCCCTCCCTCCCTCCCTTCTTTTCATTCCCATCTCCTTCCTTCCCTTTTTTTCATCCTGTTTCCCTCCCCTCCTTCCCTCCCTCCCTCCCTCTCTCTGTGCCCAGGAAGGGACAAGGGGAGGGGTAGAGGTTGGCAGCGCTTCTCTCAAAGAATAACAAAGTTGGAAGAGACCTTTGAAGTCTTCCAGTCCAACCCCCTGCTCAAGCAAGGGACCTATGCCATTCCAGACAATGGAATATCCAATCTCTTCTTAAAAGCCTCCAGTGATTGAGCATCCACAACTTCTGAAAGC